CATTTAATTTTATCTTTGAAACAGATTTGTTACGTGACAGCATTAATTAAAGTTTCTTAAGGGTCAAGATCATGTTTTTTTTTTAATTAATTAATTTTTTTATTATGCTTCCATTTACAACAAACAAACAAGGTACATAAACACATCACATAATCTAACAACACGTGAACAGCCTTAGGTTGAGCATAACCAGTGATAAACAAGATCACAATAAACCAATAATAAAGAAGAAAATAAAATAAAATAAATAAATAGAACAAATAAAACAAACAAACCATGGGTCAAGATCATGTTATCTGCATCTCCTGCGCTCCATCAAGCCACTCCCATAATAGCCGCCACTCAAATTAATGCACGACTCTACATTATCTGTATAGCATGTGTGTAAGGCTCAAATAAAATTATGAAGTAATTATTTTATGACAAAGAAATCTTTCAGCGAGTAAAACTGCTGTGTCTATAGTATTATAGACTACACTATTATTAGCCTATATTATTTTTTAATTAATTTTTAAATGATTATTATTTTTTAATTATTGTCCCTGGATCAGTAGGGTACTCTTGTAATAAAGCGGTGGTAGCGGACAGATTTTAAGTATCAATTCTGCTTAAAAAGATGCAATCTAAACATAATATCAGCACACATTCACAACATAAAGGGCAGAAGACTTCTGTAGAACAGATGGAAAAAGAGTAATTGTAAAATTATTGCTCAAAGATCTGCTGGATGTCAGCTGCCAAACAACAGATGAGGTATTTTCACTTGATGTACACTTGGTTAGTTTACTGTGGACCATTGCCACCATGTTAACGCTAGTTCCAGAGATGAGTTGTATGCTGACATTCACATTTACCTCAGTAATGCTTTTTCGACTAGTTCAGTTTCATGCCATTTCTGGCTTTCAAGGGCCCTCCAAAAACTAATTGAGCAGTAGTAGGCCTAAGACATCTGCAATAAAGAAAGATTACCAATATATACACTGCTTGCAAAAATATTTAGTCTAAAAACCAGCTGGCTTTGCTAACCAGCTAAACCTTGACCGCTTGATTAACATAGAAAAGGTTTAGGTGGTCAGAAACCATTGTGCTATGTTAAGTGTAAGCAAATAACTTGTGTTAAATGTCACATAATGATTAAAAAAAAAAAAATAAGTCAAAGGATTGTTCCTGACTTGTAAAATAAATCTTAAATACATCACAGTAGGTTAGTGTTAACCACAGAAAGTTAGCAGTCATTATGGTAAAATGATCGTTCTATTATAGAGGATCAATTTCATTCAAAATATTTCAGCATGAGTTAACATCGGCCAAATAGCTTCAATATGAAGTAACATGCCACTGTGAGACATTCTGTGTGTTCTGTAAAATAATCTTTGGTTAGGTTAGGCCTAATGTACAAACTATTGCTTATTATTTTTGACGCAAACTTCAGTAATGTGAAACCTTCAGGGACAAACTCACTGAGATTAAGGAAGAAATCTTGAGAAAATAATGTGGTTAAACTTTCAAAAGAGAGAGAGGATTGCTCACCCTGTCATGTCATTCAGATTGTGACTGTAAAGGTGTGTCTGGAGGATATTTTTTTCCACCTCCCTGGTTCTGCAGCAACACTCAACAACCATTTCACCACAATCACTTCCTTTTGATATAAAGCCATGTATTGTGAAAGGTGTAGACAATAGAGTTTGTGAGGAGCATTACGTACCTGAGCATTCATCATATACGCTGGTCTTTGGTAGGACAAATAAGAACTAAGTATCAAAGAGCTGAAGTCAAGTGCTCTGATGTCAGAATCAGAAAATAACCGTAAACTGTTTTCAACACTGAAAATGTTTCCTGCACAGCAAAGGATCATGTGACACTGAAGACTGGAGTAATGATGCTGAAAATTCAGCTTTGCTATCGAGGAATAAATTAAGTTTTACAATTATATTAAAATAGAAAACAGCTACAGTAAGTTGTATTTCACAACAGCATATCACTATTTTTACTGTAGCGAGTAAATTACTACTGATTAATCCTCGGCTGTCAATGGAGACAAGGCAATGGTTAGGCCTGAGAATCGACCTGAGAATTATTTATGACTTTGCATGTTAAACCATTTATATGCCAAGGAAGTGAGTGATCAAGAGATGTGTACTTAAGAAACACCACCTCCTCTGTGAAAATGATATGCGCAAACAAACGCTTTTAGGTAGATCGCACTGCCTAAAAAAAACAAAAGTAATCCACTGCGTCTTCAGTGGCTCAGATGTCAGGAGTAAATGACAACTGCTATATTCATTACTACAACCAACAACAAAACGCCTCAATCGCTTAGGAGACATTCTTGTGTACACCTGCTTCGGCGTCGAAACAATGGCGGACTGATGAAAGCTCACTCAGGGCGGGTCTGTGATAAAACACTAGTGTCAATCAACACTCGTGGGCGGGGTCTTGGCCTGTGTGACGTCACTCTGTCAAGAATCTGAGAATGGCTTGATCTGAGAAAGTGCTTATGATTTGTGGGGATTTAAAAAAAAGCACTGGGTGGATTTTTATCATTGTAGGGTGGTTGTGTACACACACTGCCAACACACATTTATGCTCAAACACCATGTAAAAGTGAATTTTGCATCCAATGTCCCCTTTAAATTTTATCACCTACTTTACAGTTGTGTGTTCATAAATGTATGTTTAATTCTTACTGTGTGATGTTTTTAGTGGTGAAGCTCAAACACCATGTAAAAGTGAATTTTGCATCCAATGTCCCCTTTAAATTTTATCACCTACTTTACAGTTGTGTGTTCATAAATGTATGTTTAATTCTTACTGTGTGATGTTTTTAGTGGTGAAGGCACTGATGAGCCACTGCAGGTCCAGAATCCTAACGGGAAAAAGCACCAGATGGGTGGAGCTGTCTAAGTCCATGGTGCTCTCGGGATACAGAAACCGGTGAGTCATCTTTGACCCCACATCCTTTTCATAACCTTCTGTCAGGCCTTTATTTATCCTGAAAGAATAACACACAGGAGTTTGAGGTGTGCATGATATTCTAATGAAAAACTGTTGAGGCATCTAATCTGATCTCATGACAGTGGTAATTTATAGTACTGAGACACTATTATGAAAGTTTTTATTCTTTTTATGGTTGTAGATTCAGTTAAAGGAGTAGTTCACCCAAAATAAAAACTTGCTGAAATTAACTCTCCTTTAGACCATCCAAGATGTAGAGCAGTTTCTTTCTTCAACAGAACAAATTTGGAGAAATGTAGCACTACATCACTTGCTCACCAGTGGATCCACTTCAGTGAATGGGTGCCATGCTATTAGAATGAGTCCAATCAGCTGATAAAAACATCATAATAATCCACACGACTCCAGTCCAACAATTAACATCTTGTGAAGAGAAAAGCTGTGTTTGTTATAAAAAAATATCCATCAAGACATTTTTTTTTTTTTACTTAAAACCACCGATTCCACCTAAAATACGAGTCCTCTGAGGAATTTATCTAAAACTCTTATCTAAACGGCGGGCCCCACAACCACCAAAGCCTGTGGGCCCAGCTCGTCCTCCTCCTGTGAGAGCTCTCCGGCCGCTGCCACACCAGGGCCCAAACCCTTCATCTGCTGTAGGTGAACCAAAAACAACTGATAGCAGCTCTCAGTGATATGTGTCGGGTCCCCGCTATGATAGCAGCAACATTCACGAAGGTTTACAGAACACACGGAGGTAACTGTAGTTGGTCAGGTCTTCTGTCACGTGGTTGAGGGAACACGCTGGAGTCACGAGGAAATGTTTAACATTCTTTAATCAAGAAACACAGGAGATAATCCACAATGGGCGCTTGAGCCAACACACGTAGAGAACGAGTAGACCTGACAAACACAAACTGAACAGACATGGCTTAAGTACACAGGGAGATGAGGATAATTATCTAAACACAGCTGGAAACAAATGATGAACTAATCAGGGAACCTAATGGAAACAGGAAGGACCAAAAGACACCTGACTAATGACTGATCTTTGTGTGAATGTCCACAAAACTGGAAGACTTTCTGAATGTATATAAGCAGTAGGCTATTTTAGAAAGGAACATTTAAAATTAGGGAGCAATTAGAGAGAATCAATAAATTATGAATAATTTATTGCTGTTGTGTAAATAATTTGTAATCATGTAATCCATAAAAAAGTAACTGTAGTCTGATAACTAGTATTTTAAAATGTAATTTAATCTGATTACAAGTACTTAATTTTTGTAATCTGATTACGTAATCCAGATTACATCAGTTACTACCCAGCTCTCTCTCTCTCTCTATATATATACACACACACACACACACACACACACAATAAAGAAAGCAGGAAATAAAGATCCTATAAAGATCCTCACAGATCTTTTTAATGACTTTGACAACAAAGCTCACACTACCCTCTAGTGGACACATACACACATACTGCTCACTATGAAATTGAAATCTTTTATTTGTTTTGGCTTTTTTGTTTTACTGATCTAAGCGCTAGACCTGACATGAAGCCTGAAGATCATGCTTGGCCATAATTTGAGAATGATCCAAAGAGAATCTTGAGCTGGGAGGAAAAACATCAAACTGCCTGTATAACAGTCACATAAACAATGTTACTTATTTGATTTGTGACCTAGAAGTAAAGCACAATATTAAATATGTCTTAATTTGACATCTTAATTTGTGTTTTTTTTTGTTTTTTTTTGAAAAGCAATGACTCAAACCCTTTATACTCAACCTCCAGATGAACAGCTGCTTGCAATCATTATTAAATTGGTGCGATTGGTATTAAGGGAGACGTGTGACCAAACACCTAGAAATGTATCAGTTGTCAAGCCATGCAAATGCTCACAATGATCTGGAATCAGGTCAGCACATAATATCAGCACACATTCACAACACAAAGGGCAGAAGACTTCTGTAGAACAGCTGGAAAAAGACTAATTGTAAAATTATTGCTCAAAGATCTGCTGGATGTAAGCTGCCAAACAACAGATGAGGTATTTTCTCTTGATGTACACTTGGTTAGTTTACTGTGGACCATTGCCACCATGTTAACGCTAGTTCCAGAGATGAGTTGTATGCTGACATTCACATTTACCTCAGTAATGCTTTTTCGACTAGTTCAGTTTCATGCCATTTCTGGCTTTCAAGGGCCCTCCAAAAACTAATTGAGCAGTAGTAGGCCTAAGACATCTGCAATAAAGAAAGATTACCAATATATACACTGCTAATATATTTAGTCTAAAAACCAGCTGGCTTTGCTAACCAGCTAAACCTTGACCGCTTGATTAACATAGAAAAGGTTTAGGTGGTCAGAAACCATTGTGCTATGTTAAGTGTAAGCAAATAACTTGTGTTAAATGTCACATCATGATTAAAAAAAAAAAAAGTCAAAGGATTGTTCTTGACTTGTGAAATAAATCTTAAATGCATTACAGTAGGTTAGTGTGAACCACAGGAAGTTAGCAGTCATTATGGTAAAATGATCGTACTATTAATAAGATAGAGGATCAATTTCATTCAAAATATTTCAGCATGAGTTAACATCGGCCAAATAGCTTCAATATGAAGTAACATGCCACTGTGAGACATTCTGTGTGTTCTGTAAAGTAACCTTTGGTTATGTTAGGTTAGGCCTAATGTACAAACTATTGCTTATTATTTTTGACGCAAACTTCAGTAATGTGAAACCTTCAGGGACAAACTCACTGAGATTAAGGAAGAAATCTTGAGAAAATAATGTGGTTAAACTTTCAAAAGAGAGAGAGGATTGCTCACCCTGTCATGTCATTCAGATTGTGACTGTAAAGGTGTGTCTGGAGGATATTTTTTTCCACCTCCCTGGTTCTGCAGCAACACTCAACAACCATTTCACCACAATCACTTCCTTTTGATATAAAGCCATGTATTGTGAAAGGTGTAGACAATAGAGTTTGTGAGGAGCATTACGTACCTGAGCATTCATCATATACGCTGGTCTTTGGTAGGACAAATAAGAACTAAGTATCAAAGAGCTGAAGTCAAGTGCTCTGATGTCAGAATCAGAAAATAACCGTAAACTGTTTTCAACACTGAAAATGTTTCCTGCACAGCAAAGGATCATGTGACACTGAAGACTGGAGTAATGATGCTGAAAATTCAGCTTTGCTATCGAGGAATAAATTAAGTTTTAAAATTATATTAAAATAGAAAACGGCTACAGTAAGTTGTATTTCACAATAGCATATCATTATTTTTACTGTAGCGAGTAAATTACTACTGATTAATCCTTGTCTATCAATGGAGACAAGGCAATGGTTAGGCCTGAGAATCGACCTGAGAATTATTTATGACTTTGCATGTTAAACCATTTATATGCCAAGGAAGTGAGTGATCAAGAGATGTGTACTTGAGAAACTTAAGAAACACCACCTCCTCGGATTCATGCCTCATATCTTGATCACCAGCAGATTTACACATCTGTCAGATTGACACATTCTTGAAGGTTATTGCTATTGTTCCATATTCAAATTTCCAAACAAACCGGTAGGTTTATAGCATTTATTTAACTTTTATATTAACTAATGTAAATATTAACATTATAAAAAATTCTTCTAAAGTGTAGTTGATAGTAATTGTTTAATGGAACGGAGTTAACATGGGCTAAAATAAAGTTGTTGTTTTTTAATTAACATTAACAAAGATTAATACTGTAACACATGTATTGCTCATTTTTAGTTTAACGCAATAACCAACGTCAACTAATGTAACCTTATTGTAGACTGTTATTCGTTGTAAATAGAAATACATTTTAATGTTATAGCTACTGAAGTGTCACACATCACCAGTGTAGCCTATATAGTACAGTCACTCACAGAAACGCAGTTCTTGACTTTGATCATACCCATCTCTCGCGTTTTGTTTGCCAAAGTTTTTAAAGCTGATTCAAAAGAAACGAATAATGTTAAAGGGTAATATTACGAACAAACCGCAGTCCTTATGGATTTAATATGCAACAAACACTTTTTCACCGCTGGCGTTTCTTCATGTTCTCCGGTGCCACAGACATTTAGCTCTTTAATAGGCTATACCTTGCCTTGACATTTGTTTTAGACCAAGCAGAGTTCAGTGTTGGGGAAAGTTACTTTTAAAAGTAATGCATTACAATATTGCGTTACTCCCTAAAAAAAGTAACTACGTTACGTAGTTACTTTTTATGGAAAGTAATGCGTTATATTTTGCGTTACTTTCGCGTTACTTTTTAAATATAAGCAGGGCTTGATTGTTTTTAATATAAGAAGTTATATTTATAGCAAATATAAAAGCCCTTTCACACCAAAAAGTGTAATGAATAAACCTCAGGCTGAAGCAAAAGTAAATTCACGTCTGTAAAGTAGAACGCAGGAGAAGAAACACTCTTCAGCAATAAAAAAACAAAGCACAATTGTTAGTTTATCTAAAGTCATTTAGTATGGTTGAACTGGATCATCAAAGGTCAGCAGCAAAGACATTGGTTAATAAAATGGGATTAGATACATTTGTGTTATTTAACATTTAATTATTGCAGGGTTGCGTCATATTCTGAGTTTCCATTTCACTGTTTTAATTCATTTTGATTAATACTAAATCTTTTTTTTGTGAGTGGGATGAATGAATGCACATTCACATTAAGTCTAGAACTACAGTAACATCATGTTCTCACAGCGCACACAACACTTCCGATTTCTCCCAATATGGGGACAGGAGACTTGTCAGTCAATAAATGGGAAAACAAAGTAACTGGCATTACTTTTTTGAAAAAGTAACAGATATTTTCTTGTAAATTAAAAAAGTAATGCGTTACTTTACTAGTTACTTGAAAAACGTAATCTGATTACGTAACTCGCATTACTTGTAATGAGTTACCCCCAACACTGGCAGAGTTATGATGTTAGTAATAGTAGGAATATTAACGACATAATAAATGGCACTTTTTTTTTCTCTCTCTCTCTTTTGTATTTTTTCCAGTTGTAGGATTCTAAACCCTCGTCAGCCAGTTGAAATTATGGTTCCTTTCACTAAACGGAGGTCTTTGTACATCACAGCGCTCTTCACATTTGGCATCATCTTTCTTTTTATGCTCTTCCAAAACGCGGTGATCTATACTTTCCTCAAAACATCAGTTGATTCCACCCGCGGAGGTCTGTGCGCTTGTGATAAATGTGTCACGGATCTGAACGATACTGATTGGTTCTTCATGCGGTTCAACTCCACGGTTCCATTTCTGCTGAACAGAAGAAACGGCGTGTTACGGTCAGACGTCTACAGATGGTGGACGGTACGTGAGTTCAGTCCGGATCTCTGGGAATCAAGGGTGGGGGAGATGTGTGGTTAGTTTGATCACACATTGCCCAATTCGAGAGAAAAATATAGGTAGGTAGGCTCCAACCCTAATTAAAACTCACCTGCCTGTAGCTTTCCAGTAACCCTTCAGACCTTGATTAGCTTGTTCAGGTGTGTTTGATTAGGGTTGAAGCAAAACTCTGCAGGGCTGCGGTTCTCCAGGACCGACGTTCGCCACCCCTGCACTAGACTATGGTAATAAGTACTAATTTAAGTGTTTATTTTGAAATGATTTGTAATAATGGAAAAATAGGAACCAATGTGTGTTTTTAACTTAAGGATCACATTCGGTTCTGCAGTCCTGATTATGTGGATGATATAATGACAGCATAGCCTATCACGGGACTGGTAGTTTTATTTATTAAAAAGCTCTCGTTAAAATGGTTCAGACTAGTCACACGTTGTATCATAAATGGATATTAGTTCTTGTATCTTTTCTGTATGCGCGGTGCGAGAATGCAAAGGAAACTAAGCACGCACGCCTCGACACATTACTGTTGCCAGATCTCGCTAGAACCCCCTCCCAGTAAAAAACAAACAAACAAAAAAACACATAATAAACTTGCATCCAAACGCTTTATCTTGGAAATAAGCAACATACCAAAATATCGCGATCTGCACCTGCCTTGATAACGCAATAGGGTCGCTTTTAGTCAAGCTCAAAGACGATTAACCCGTCGCTTATCATAAGTGGACATGGCAACACATCATGAGCGCGCTTCTTCTCACTAGGCTATTCTTTGGTCGCAGTAGCCTACTTTGGTCAAAAATGGCGAGCCAAATAGCGGATACCAAACGCGCGTGACGACAGAATCAATCATCAGAGAGTCATTTTGCTCAGTGATGATTCACGCACGAAACTTTTTAAATACGGTTGTAACTCCTGACAATTTACAGTGCGTGTCCACTCCTTTTATCTCTAGACTAAGAAGTATATTTTTGACTTTAAGAGAACGGTCTTAATGAAATACAGGTGCATCTCAAATTAGAATGTCATGGAAAAGTTAATTTATTTAAGTAATTCAACTCAAATTGTGAAACTCGTGTATTAAATAAATTCAATGCACACAGACTGAAGTAGTTTAAGTCTTTGGTTATTTTAATTGTGATGATTTTGGCTCACATTTAACAAAAACCCACCAATTCACTATCTCAACAAATTAGGCCACTGTTTCTTTGACGGAAGGAAGCATGAAGTGCTCCAAAATTTCTTGGTAAACGGGTGCAGTGACTTTGGTTTTCAAAAAACACAATGGACCAACACCAGCAGATGACATTGCACCCCAAATCATCACA